ATATATATATATATATATATATATATATATATATATATATATATATATATATATATATATATATATATATATATATATATATAAATAATTATAAAGTGATAAAATATCAGAATAATAATAAGCAAAAATAGTATATGTCACACATACCATCACTCACGTGATTGACTTACAAAGTACCTATGACTAACACACTTAGTCCCACGTCGACAATCACTATGATTGGCTTATATGGCTTATATGGGCGTGGAGATAAAGTTCATTGTATCTTGATCTGTTTCATCAATTCCTTCTTGATTTCTTTCATCGTTGTAAATGGATTCATTAGTGAGATAGTGTAACACTCAACTTAAGTGGGCAACGATAGGACCCATCCGATTTGCCAGGCCTGATCTAAGGTTCTGCAACGTTACGGTCCAGATCGTGGCAAACAGACTTGCTCCACGCATACGAATCCGACGTTGCTCATCCAACATGGAGTGTGGCCGCTGGACTCGGCCGATGTCTGATCTGCTGGTGGCGGCCCAAATATTACACCGAATCGGTTCGATCCTTCCCTCTCCTCGCAGCAGGAGCCGCAAATCAAGTCTCTCGTGCGTGCAGCCCAACGCGTGATCGACGCAGATGACGAACTGAAGTGGTCGATAATTGATTGATGGTGCCTGCTGTGCAAGTGTCTGGAATCCCTCGTCTTCTCCCCTCACTCTCCGTCTCCTTATCTCGTATCTCTCCCTCGCTCTCTTGCGAGACACCCATTTATAATTACAACAAAAATAGGAGGAATCAAACTAAGAAGAATAAGGCGTCGTTTAGGGCACATAAACACAGAACGAACCATGCCTTTCGGCGCTTCCATCCCTTCGCCTCCTCCTACGTAAGCTTTTCTCTCCTCTTTCGCTTAGCAATATTCCACTTATTAGTTCTGTCCTCTTTCAATTTTGCTGCTCTGAATTTTGTTTATCAATCCACGTACAGAAGAGCATTCGATTCTGAGGCTTTCGGCTTTTGACTCAGTATTGTGCTCCAATCTCTTTTAATCACCTCAGTTTGGTAGCATGAAAGGGGATTTCCAAACAATTTCAGTAACCCATGTTTTATTTAATTGGCTGCCCCGGTGAGCCATTGGAACCGTTGACAAGATGCATACTTCGAAAAAAAAAAAAAAGGATATTTTTGCAGACTACTACTGATAGGGAAATTATTATCGATGTCTAAGTCAACCCGACATGGTCTAAACCCGAGGGCACAGGAGTGTCCGAGATGGCTTCGAGGTGGAAGTGTTGAGTTTCGGAGGCACCACTTGCACTAAGACTGAGGTCAGAGGAAATTTTCAGACCCAGTTCCTCTAACGCCTAAGTTAATGATCGAGGTCTCTTAGTGGGTGTGGATTTTTCTTTTGGGAAGAGAGCTCCCCTGGTGTAACATCAGGGATTAGCTTTTATACCTCACATTGGAGGAGACAATCTATAACCGCTCCAATGTCCCCCATCTTGGCCTTTTTTTCACATGGGCGACAAGGGGGAGACAGTCCCGAATTGCCTGCCTTGGTTTTTTATGCACGCGGGCAGATGGGTGGAGGGTGACTTGGACCTTTTTCTTTCACGATGGCTTCCACATGGTGGTTAATTGTCGGACGATGATTGACTATTAGTATATTCCCTATCATTTATCTCCTTAAAGGTGCGCTTCGGGGCTCTTATAAGAGGGGTTCAAAGTGTAGCATTTAATTCATCCGATACGAGATCATTCGAGATCTCCTCTTATGGGTCGGGTTTTCCCGACAAATGCCTCATGCGATGCTTCTCGACGTTCGCGCCTTTGGTGGAGGCGGAGGTTAGGCCTCCTGACCTCCACATCTTGGGTAGAGGTGGGGGTCAGGCAGCTCGACCTCCACGCCTTGCCCGACCTCCGTGTGAGCATCCTAACCCCTCGAGCATATTTGGCTTATGCCTCCGTTATGACAGATTTTTTCTTACATGAGTCAAGTTTTTTCAGCTCACGCGTTTCAGTCACATTCAGTCTGTGCCTTTGCCGTGGTAGATTTCTTCTCACGTGGGTCATGTTTTTTCAACACACGCGTCTCGGGCACATTCGGCCCATGCCTCCGCCATGGTGGATTTATTCTCATATGGGTTTTACCGACTCATGCGTCTTTGGCACATTTGGACTGTGCCTCCGTTGTGGTGGATTTCTTCTCACGTGAGTTGGGTTTTCCCAAATCACACGTCTTGAGCACATTCGGCCTATGCCTCCGCCATGACAGATTTCTTCTCACGCGGGTCGGGTTTTCCTAACTAACGCATATAGGGCACATTTCTCCTGTGCCTCCGCCGTAATGGGTGTTTTCTGACATGGGGCAGGTTTTCCCAACTCGTGTCTTATGCACATTCGACATGTGCCTCCGTTGTGGCAAATTTCTTCTCACGCGGGTCATGTTTTCCCGACTCATGTGTTTTGAGCACATTTGGCTTGTGCCTCTATCGTAGTGGATTTCTTCTCATACGGGTCGGGTTTTTCCAACTCACACGTCTCGGGCACATTTGGACTGTGCCTCCGTCATAGCGGATTTTTTCTCACGCAAGTCAGGTTTTCTCGACTCACGCGTCTCGGGCACATTTTAGCCTGTGCCTCTGTTGAGGTAGATTTCTTCTCACGTGAGTCAAGTTTGCGCGACTCATACGTCTCGGGCATATTTGGCCTGTGCCTTTGCCGTAGTGGATTTCTTCTCACGCAGGTCGGGTTTTTTCGACTCACTCGTCTTGAGTACATTTGGCTCGTGCCTTTGCCATGACAGATTTCTTCTCACGCAAGTCTGGTTTTTTCGACTCATGCATCTCGTGCACATTCGGCTTGTGCCCCCGTTGTAGTGGGTTTCGAGTCCTTCCTCCGTCATGACAAATTTCGAGTCCTCCTTTCGCTGTGGCGAGCTTCAAGTCCTTCCTCCATCGTGGCAGATTTCGAGTCCTCCTGCCTTGGTGAGCTTCAAGTCCTCCCTCTGCCGTGATGGATTTTTTAAACTTATTAGGTGCGAATAACTTGATATGATCTCATTTTTTAATTGCCACCACCAAAAACAAGATGTAATATCCCTAACTATTTGATTAGTTTTAGTTGCAAGTATAAAAATTTAGGACTCAGCAATTGCAATTGTTTACACTTTACACTGCATTTATGCAAGTTTGCAGGTCGTTACTAGAGGTCTGAGAAGGATCAATATATGCAACCTTACATCTAAATACACAAAGAGGCTGTTCGGGTGACCTGAACCCATGTCGCTTCCCATTGTACCAAGGCTCACTCTCTAGGCTTGGAATTATCCTCCACATGATATATCATTTCTATATTGAGGATGGAATTATCTAACGCATGATATATCACTTCTTTATTGAGAAAAATATAAAATATCTACATTCTACTATAAGTGTGATATTACCTCTTAAAGAACTATGAAAATTTATTAACCATTTCTTGAAAATGCTACTTGGAATTTGAAGTGCAAAATGTAAAATTGTAATATTGCTTTAGTGATCCTGGTATATGTTTGATTGCATATGACTTCTCAAGTTATATAAATCTTCAGATGGACTGTGTTATATGATATGGCATTGGGAATCAGATAAGCTAAATTCCTGAATGAAGGTTTTTAAGATATAATGATTCTATTGTCTTCTTACTGTTACATATCTTGGCCATCTCAGATATTTGGTTCATCACCTCGCTTGCTGGTTTCAAGTTTCAAACAAGTGCTGGATTCATAATGGACTCTCTGGGTTCGTTCCAGGTTAAGCACCTTCATTTTAAGTCACTCAAATGGTTTTTACATTTATAACCACATTGTATTCAAAGTAAATTATGCATATTTTACTCATTTAAAATTAAAACTAGTATGTTTTTTGTATTTACTCTGTAATCAGAATGAATTTTGCTATGTTACATAATCAAAAGAATCACGCCTATATTACTACCTGTGCTAGCAGAGAAATATGTATCTTTATCAACAGTTGTTGTAGAACTATCTTTGGCTTTATATTGTTACTGTAATATGGTTAAAGTTCTGTGATTTGCTTCCTACGCAATTGTTAAACTATTGGTGAGGCCTTCACAGCTCATGGCTTGGCATTGTAATTTTCTTCCCTTTTCATATTACAGTAGTTGTTTTCCTTTTCGTCCTTTTGTTCTTTATGGTTCGACTCCTAAAAGGGGGGTTGTCTTTTTGTTCTTTGTATTTTCCCTTTTAATCCTTAACCCTTTTTGGATGACTTGGAAGGTGCATGATGATGGCTTGTTTAATGGCCTTTGATGCACTCCTCTAGTTCCCTACAGGATTTCCACTATGATGTATACTCTGAATTCATGCATATCTGAAGGGACCAAAGACATGAGGCAAGTCTTGGTTAAGTGGCAAGTTCCGGATGCTGGATGGTGTAAAATCAATATAGATGGATAATGGAGCCAAACTTTGGTGGTGGTGCTGGTTTTGTGGTGTGTTTAAGGCTTTAAGCTATGGTCGATGTATTATGACAGGCTGCAAATGTATACAACATGGGAAACCTTTGCTCTAGGAGTTAATTGCAATCAGAAAGGGCACTGAACAGGCCTTAGCTAATGGTTTATAAATAATTCTGATTCAATCAGATGTTATGGCTGTAGTCAAATTCTCAACAAAGAGTGTGATCCTCTCTATGACAACTCATAAATTTAGTAAGGGACTGTGAATGTTTTCTCAATTAATGTATGGATTTCAAAGTGCTTTGTGTTTAGGTAGGGCAACAAACCAATTAACTAGTTAGCCAATTTTGCTAAGAGATCAAAGTTTTTCTTTGGAAGGCAACTGGCCTTCCAATTTGCTTGTCTTACCTAGCTTTGATTCCCAGGGCTCCTTTTGTATCAAGTTAAACTTATATAATTTTCTTATTTTTTGGAAAAAGAAAAAGAGGGGTAATATGCACATAGGGGAGTGTTGGGAAAAGATTATATATAGAGTCCTAAATATGCGGAAGCGACAAACACCATAATATTGTTTTTTTCTCTTTATATGAATCAAATAAGATATAATTTAACATAAAATATATTGTTAATAATCTAATAGTGCAAGCCAAGCCTATTAGTGATAGAAAACTATGCAAATCACGAGACAAGATTTATGTGGAAAGGTCCTTCAACGTGAAGGGAAAAAACCACGGCCAAACTAGATCAATCTTCCACTATAAAATAATAGGACTATAATGTTACTCTCTCTAGATTAACTAGAGGATATCAATGTCATATGAAAACTAGACATTTAGATGAGTTTTACGATACCAGGGGAAAAAACTGAACAGAAAAAGAAATCTTAAAGATCTACACCGATCAATTTAAAGAGTATGGTGTCTAGATCAACATAAAAAAAATCATGATAATCAGAACCAATTTCACTAACCAATAATCAAATCTTTCTTCTTCCTAGATGAAAGCACTTTTCTTTCCTATGACGGCCATCTTTTAGGTTTTTCTTATCTAACTCATATAAGATTAGGGTTAGGGTTTTTTAATTAACCCCCATGGGTCTCACCACTTAAGTCATGGGCAGGACCACCCAACTGGGAGATCAGCATAATTGTTGTTTCATAGCCTGACTAAACTGTATGAGTCGATACCACTAGTACTAGGCAACTAAATCCCACCAAACTTTGAAATTCCATGGAAGCCATATTGTGAAACCAATTTGATTATTCGTTTAGGAAACTGGAAAGCCTGATACTTGTCCAGTTGAACTCATGATATGATTCTCAGTGTTACTGTGATTCTAAAAAAGAGAAATGATTTATCAAGGACGAAAGTTTTGATTAGAGTATATGACCAAAAGCTTATGTCTGTGTTGTTTACTTCTTTGTCCTTACAAATTTATACAATCAATATTTTATCTATTCTGTTATTTGTTTAGTGTTTCTTGCTTTCTTAAACATTTTTATTAACTATTTTTCCCTCATTCCATTTTCATGTTGTTTCTTGATCAGTCTTCTTTCTTGATAACATTTTTTTTTAATTTTCAAATCGAAGTCTCTAACCATTCTTCAAGATCTAAAGAAAGTTCAAGACTTAAAGAAGGTCTGTAAATCAATGAAATTTAGTGTAATGGAGGCTTGTTTCTTTGTATCTTGCGGTAACATGATGAACACCTTTGAATTGTTTCACACTTAAACTTTGATCCACATAATTCTTTTCTTGGCCCAGGAAGAGTAAAGCAAAATCCAATAGCAATTCTGTATAGGCATGATATACAATTCTAATTTGTTGTTTCTTTACTATCATATCTTTGTTGCCATGCTAAATTTCAATATTAAAACCATTTTACCTTTTTTTGGGCACTAGGAATCAATGATGCACATATTTGTTTTGCAGCAAAAAGAAGGGCAATGGTTCTGCCTTTGAGGGCTAGCTTTTGGGATTCCATTAAATCTGGGTAACTGAAAATGTACATTAACTTTTCATTCATAAGATCTATATATGTTTTTTGATGATTCTCATCGTACTTGATGTTATATGCTAAATTTTCAATTCCTTTATTCTTCTCAAACTTTACTGGAATCAAATAAATTTTGTTGCAATCTATAACTTGTTACTCATCTTCACTATGGTTTTATGTTTCGATTTGGGAAAATAGATTTTTGGATCTATTTGACTTGTATTTTTTTTTTTACTTGCAATCTTAACAAGATATTCTTATATCAACAATATAGCCTCTTTGTGTTTTACTAATCTTCTGAGAAATAATGAGGTTGTTTGCAGTCATGTTTGGTTGGCAAGTGAAAAATTACTGGCTAGGATAATTAACATTCTATTAATTGCTAGCTTATGATGTTTGGTGCTTCACTCTGTCTCCTTTTGAGGGGTTTTGAGTAATGCTGAAAGTTGTTTCAAAAAGATATATATTTAATTAAGGCAACTCTGGAGGGGTTCAACATTTATTCTTGTACAGAGCTAAATGTGCTTGTACATACCTAGTTAAATATTAGGGACATCTGTCAACATTTGCAAACATGCATACATAAGTAGGCAACAACCAATGTATTGCTATATTTATTTATTTTTTATTGTTGGACTGTGAGGTATCACCTTCCTTGACATAGCAAATGATGTTGCATGTGAAATTCTGCTTCTTTGAACTTAGTGCATATTCAACTAACTCATATTTGATTATGCAGCTTCTTGAAGAATAACAACTCAACAAAAGTTGTTGAGCCACCTTCAACTTTTATGGAAGAAGAAGACCCCTTTCCACAAGATATAGTGCTTCTTGAAAAGACCCAACCTGACGGAACATTTGAGCAGATCATCTTTTCTTCAGCTGGAGACGTTGATGTATATGATGTACAAGCTTTATGTGATAAGGTACTTCAAAAATATTGTCTCATTTTTATGTTCTAGACATAAACCCTTTTTAATTTTCTTTCATTTTTTTGTTTCTTATATACTGTATAAAGTATAAACTGTGTATTGCTTCTAATACCTAATATGGTGATTTTCCCTCTTGCTTTTTAAGCCATTGGCTTTTTGTAGATAAACATAGTATAGCTATCATTTTATTTGATATTTGGAACTTCATAACGTATAAGAAATTCATTGATTTTCCGAGAAAAGACCCAAGTTTTGGGTCTTTCTCAGAAAACATCCTTCATTTTTCTCTTATCTTTCAAGACAATAAAAGTACCCTTATTGATAGCTAATGGCTAAACCCAGCTAAACTAAATCAGTCATTCAATCGATGATAAACCAATCGGTTACAATGTTTTTAATAGGGTTAAAAGATATTTTTCTTATTGCAAAAACACTGAAACCCTATTCAAAACAATGCAATTCAGTCTTAATTAATTCAAATTCTCATAAATATTAAATATTAACTTTATTATATGTATTAAGGTTTCATGAAATATTTTATTTAGAGTTCTTAAGTGATTTTGAATGAAAATTAAGAATATTTTGACATATTTCAAAATAAAGGATGGCAAATCCTTATTTTTTTATGGAACCTTAAATTTAGGTCTATAATTTTTGAAAAATATTATAATATTTATTTTATTTAGTAAAAATAATTATATTCAAATAAAAATTCTCATTAGAATGTTTTTTAATAGACTTACAAGGTTTTTGTCACTAAAATAAAACATTGTAACTCAAATAAAAAAACATTGTAACTCTATTTAATTAATCGAAAATTTCACTAACAATAAATATCAATTTTACAATACGTTTGGATGTATTATAAAAATATTAATATGAGAATTTCAATGATTTTGAATGAAAATTATGAAGATGTTAACATATTTCAAAATAAACCATGATAAGAATTATAAATTTCACTTTGTCTTAAATTTAGGTGTAAATATTTTTAAAATCCTATAATATTTATAATAATTTATTATGAAATAATGATAATAAAAAATAATGAGACAATACTAAGGGCAAAACTTGGTACAATGATAAGATTGTGCCTTTGAAAGCAGGATTCAAGCCAAAAAACAACCACTTGTATTGGATATTAGCTCTCCCCAGACCCCCAAATTGGCAGGAGCTTTGTGTACTGGATACGCCCTTATAAATCTATTCCAGATTTGAACCTAAAGATTGAAAACTAGGTTATTTTTGCCCAAACTTTAGACAGAAAAATCTAAACTAGAAACACGAGGTGAGATATTACAGGTGGTGGATCAGATACACCAGGTCTTACCAAAGCTTTTAACAACTATCTTGGATTGGCTATACTAACTAGTAATATTTCCTGTTCTTCCTATAATTTGATCTGACAGGTAGGATGGCCCCGAAGACCACTAACAAAAATAGCAGCATCTTTGAAAAATAGTTATCTGGTTGCTACACTTCATTTAATAAGTAGGTCTCCAGGCACAGGTACTTGCTGTTTTAAGTATCAACTTAGCTGATACCTTGTGCTTGTTCGTAGACTTACAACAACTTTATATTGTGATTTTTTCAATCAAATATTTCACAGAGGGGATTGATCAGAAGCAACTTATTGGCATGGCTCGTGCCACCTCTGACCATGCATTTAATGCGACAATATGGGATGTCCTTGTTGATCCTTCCTATCAGGTGAGGCACAATCATATATTTTCATTTTGTTAATACAAAACTGAAGATCTTGTCAAAATCTTCATATGCAGTTACATTGTTCGTTTCGGATGTATTTACCTAGGAAAATCCTTGTAATGTGCACAAAGCTTGTGAAACTTTGATGCTTTTTCAGGGGCAGGGTCTAGGTAAAGCACTTGTGGAGCAGCTAATCCGGGTGTTGCTGCAAAGAGATATTGGCAATATAACTTTATTTGCAGATAATAAAGGTACTAGTTAAAAGGTCACAAGTGGTATCTTTTGCGTACAGTTCATAAATTTATCAAGCTAGAAGTGTTGCAAAACTTCATCTTGGTTGATATCTATCATCATTCAGTTAGCTTCGACGAATGTGCGTACGTATGAAGGATTTCCTGTTTCCACCTGATGTGTGGCTATTTAGCTTCCAGATTCTGGGTATATTGACTTATAACATGTTTGTTTAAATAACAACTGCTGCAAGATTTAACTTTCCTGACTGCCAATATTATTTAGTCAAAAGAAATAAAAAAAAAGACAACCAATACTATTAAATTGTTTAACCATAATGCATGAAAGAACTCAAATGTGAGGTCTCCTTGAAAAAATAGCTATTTTTAGGTTGTAACCATCAATGATTTTGGATCTTGTCTTGAGGTTTGTGATATCGTACTGAGTTCCTTTCATTTATAACCACATGCATGGCATTTTTTTCAGGCATTTTGTTTATAATGCTACAAACTTTGAAATTCATTATGTTGTCATGCCGTTATTAACTGCAGTGGTGGATTTCTACAAGAATTTGGGATTTGAAGCTGATCCTGAAGGTATCAAGGGCATGTTCTGGTACCCAAGATATTAGTGATCCTGATGACTCCATGGTCTCTAAATGTGTTTTGGGTACTAGAAATTACATGGGCTGTCTGAAAGTAATGGTGCTATTACAATTATGTAAGTATATGAACGTTGTTTGAGTTAATTTTGCTATTTTAAAATTCATTCTCATGATGTCGGGTGAAGCTTCATTGTGTAGATTGCTAGAGATCTGTCTTTTTGACAGACATTCAGCATGGATGTTAATGTTCCCAGAAAAGATGTCTAAACGAGGTGGGAGTTAATAGTTTTTTTGACTTTATTCTCTTCTCCTCCCATCACCAATCACCAAGAGGAAGCGCAACAAAAGGAAAATAAACAAAAAGCACTTTGAGGACAATGTCCACAACAACCGGTGACAGTGGTGGGAAGGTGGGGAGTGGGGGAGGCGGTCTCCTGTGAGAGGATTCAAAACAAACCATCCATGTCGAAAATTGTGAGAAACATTATCGTATTTTTGACCTCTCTTTAAAGGCGGTACCAACCGTCAGCCATGCCACATGGATTTGATATAAAATCTTTATGTTTCCTCGGACAAGAATGGAAATGCCACTGTAAACTACCTCCATCAATCCAAGGTCTTGCTGACAGTTGAACTCCGCAACAATGCAGCAAATTGGACCTTTTTGCAACAAACGATGTGTTTCAGAAAGGGCTCTCGCAGGAGAAAACAAATAAGAAACTATTCCAACTTCACCAAGTCAAAAAAAGGAAGCAAATTTCCTTCCTTCTGTCCGCTGTATATATTTTTGCTATATAAATATAGGAAGATCATTTCTTGCAGCCAATAGCCATTCATTACCTCCCCACTGATGTTACCAACAATTTATCGTCACCAGAAGCAGTTAGAGATAAGCTGAGGCAAAAGTTGGTCCATGCACGTTTTTCTCGCCCCCTACATAAAGCATGCCAATAAGAACAAGTTAAATAGCAAGAGTTGTTGAAGATAACTTTCTACCTCATACATTCGCCGGCTGAATTCTATTTACAATGGCATGGGACTCGAGCAGGAGGAACCAAAAGTAGCATTCTACCAGCAGGTTGGATTGCTTGATTGTTGGTCAGGAATCCCGTGGCAGTTCGTGTATACATCATCGTAGTAGACCCAAGGCAATCCTCTCCAAATCCGCATGCCTTCAAAAACAAGCTGCAAAAATTGCACACTAACATTGCAGCTGGCTTTTTCCCAAGCCATACATAACATAATTGCTAGCACATTACCATACAATCAAGAGTGAAAACAACCAAATGGGAAGGCTTGCCTGTAGTAGTGCATCAGAAAAAAGCTACAAGTATATCCCAATTCTTTTATGTACAAAACTAATGTTGCTCAGTTACTGATCAAGGTACCAGAAACCATAATGTTAGGAAAAGAAGCACAGACAAATATGATAGCTTAATTAGGCTATTATGTAAAAATTATAATAGTTGATATAATACAAGATTTTAGAGAAGTTGATGATCCAGTTCACCAAGTTGGCTGATATTACACATAAGCATATGAACATCAATTAGTGATTAAGGAGACACATCAATTGCTCTGCATTCATAAACCACAATAAACCAAAAATGATTCGATAAAGAAATTCTAAACATGAAAGAATATTTTGCTTGGCAGGAAAAGAAACTTTAGTGGCTTTATTAATGTGGTAAATAAGAAAATCCATCAGAAGAATCATTTTTTTATATATTTGTATATACTCTTGATCTGTTTCTTAAGCTACCTTTGCTGTCCTGAATATGCAAATGATAGCATTTTGATTTGACGTACAAATGGCCACTAAAAGAAAAGAAAGCAAACCACTCAAGTGCCTACAGATACATTCTCAATCTGTTCGCCCTATCAAATAAAAAATCACCCATAATAACAAGCCAAGATAATTACAGAAAGTACTGCAATAAAATAAAAAGGAACAAGAAGAGATGGTTGCCAAAGTTTTGTTTTTTGTCTGCCAATACCGAATGCTCTAGATACATTGCTCCTAAACTAATTTAAAACAACATCTGTTAAAATGTTTGTAGCACCAAATCAGCAGTCTATGGTGAAGAGCCAGACCAGGACCAGTTATATGCCATTCAGCTTTAAGCTAGACAGATGTCTAGAATATGCCATTCTATTTAATAATCTCTCTTTTGATAGCTGACAAAATAATGTGTCACTCATTAGGCAAAAGGCAAGTGCTACTCTAGCTCCTAAAGTTAAGATTATCAGAAGCACATTACTCATCGATTTGAGAAAGATGCTGAGGACTAAAATGCAAACAAGGATTATTTTGTATACCACTCCCAGTATGTTCCTGGTCAGAACATGTACTGGTGGTATGACACAATCCACGTGTTGATTGGCATGAGCCAACCACATTGCCAAAAGGGTACTGCTACACCCTTGGCCCCATATAAATACTTGAACACAGGATCATATGTCTCAGTTCAGCAATCATTTGAGTGTAGATATTTTGCAAATATGAATATTTACTCCTAAAGAAGGGTTATAAAATGATATTACATAAAGTTGCAAGAAGAAGATGACTATATATTTTTGTTTTGTGCACTAGTTCAACAAGAATCCTTTGATGCACAAGAACTAGTTAGTCCGAGGATAACCAACTTCTAGTTAGCTGTACTAGCATACACTACAAGTATTTCATGGTACAAACAAGGTTAATTACTTCACACAAATGTCCACCTCTCTTATCCACAAGTTGTTTCAGAAAACATCTTTCATTGGCAATATATATTAACTTCCATAATTTCCCCTCACTATTTCGAAAGTGATAACCTGTGCTACTAACCTTTGAATCAAGGATTTAAGTCTAGCCTATGCTGATAAAACAGGCAATTTTTTGTGGACATGCTTCCAGAAACAAGACCCTTAGCACTGGGTTCAGTGTTGATGAGCAATAAAAGCATTTCTTGTGTCCATGAGTTTTAATCCTAACTGGTTTGAGTAGACCTGAACTGAGTCGAATTAAATAAACCAACCACTGTTCCATTGTCCAAGCACTCTCTTATCTCCCATTCTGAAACTGAGATGCAATCAAGACTTCCAACGGGAGATATAGCATCTCCATGTAATTGCAGCACTCTGACACTACCCATTGAACACTAAACAAAGCACGAATGATATGCCTGAAAGGAGCTTCTGTCAACCATCAGAAAGTGGTATGTGATATTTTCCTGTTCTCCTGATAAAGAGAGAAACAACTCAACAAGAACGCACAAATTTTTTATTTCCTATTTAGTAACCCTGTTATGTTCAGGTGAGCAGAATACAGAAAAGCTATCATCCAATGTAAATAAATTTTAACGGCCTATCAGGATCCGCTACTCAAGTGATACTTAGTATCTTGCTGTTTGAACATTAGGCATACATAATGCTTAACTAATGGTGGTGTGACGAACCATCCTATCAATATCATCATTTGTATACCATGCAATGTAATTTATAGGACCTAAAATTGTCCAAGAGAGATCCGACAAACTTATAATTCATGGAATTCATCAAAGCATTACAAAAGGATGGCCTCAAGTCCTCATCATATATGAAATTCTCCTTTCTCTCTAGAAGACATGTCTGCAGAATAGTAATAATAGTAAAAAACTCCATATCATTTGTAATTCTAACAGAATTAGTAATTCTGTTAGAATTCGTAATTCTAACAGAATTAGAAACCAAGAACAAAACATAGAATTAGTAATTCTAACAGAAAAATATTTGTTGGAAAGTCTTTTTTTTCCATAAGTGAAAATTTAATTAAGAATATTTGTTGGAAAGTTTATAAGGATAGTGACACAACGAAAAAGAATAGATGTATTCTTAATACTGATCAAGCAGTTGCAGCAACAATTGAAGAAAGACTATTTCATCCCACCGGATTATGTAACTCTCCCACCCTCCAACAGAAGAAACTATCATGTTTGATCTTGAGCAGGATGAAACTACAAAGTATAAAGAAACATAATGGATGTACCTCTCATTTTCTGAACACAAGGCTGAGATATCATATATGCCTTTACCAGTAATAATCCTGTAGATAAACAATTTCAAAATTATAAAAAAACAGTATGGACTAGTAGATAGGCAAATAATGTTAGGATGATTCAATTATTACAAGCAACTAAAGCTTTCAATATCATGTGAGATCTGAGACTTCCCATATTGTGACAGGAAAAGTAAAATGGCGGTCAAACTATAAGTGTGTAAGTTTCTATCAATAGTTTCTATTGTCAAATTATAAGTGTGTAAGTTTCTATTGTCAAAATATAAGTGTGACAGCAAAACTTTAGGGCATGCGATAAACATTCAAAAAGCTGTTCACAGATTCAGAACCTAAAGTAATGATTTTGATGACTTACACGCTGTTGAAGATGGTTATATCTGAAATTGAACAATAACAGAGTTGTCTGGAATCCATGCTATTAGTTGCCGAAGTGGGATATAAGTCATACAGAGAATTCCAAATGCTGAAGCAAGTTACACTTCAAACAGCATTTACAAGTTTAGAATTTAGATATTCCTACCTTGTGATTCGTTCAACTATCTTTCGTCCGATACCCCGTCCCTGTAAAGAAGGGATAACCTGAAAGGAACTTAATGTAAATGACATGAATATTTGCAATAGTGTAATAGTCTAGATGGTACCATATAATAATGTGATACAAGGTCTGGAACTCAATTAACTAAGCTGTTGATTGATCATTCAAACAATGGGAGCAAGAATCCTTTTAAAATAATATATCTGCTAAAGCCATTAAAACATCCATACAAACATTATTGAAATGATCATTGGTACTTCTAGTTGGTCTTTTCACCGAATGAAATTCACTTCCTTATAAAGTGAAAGATTTCACGCTAAGAATTGGAAGTTTAAATTAGTTGGGCTCGTTCTTATTAGCTAAGTCCTTTGGGAATAATGATAACCCAACTAATAATTTATCATGGTATTGGAGTAAGTCATCAGTTTGAATGTTAGCTTTGCCCCATTTTACAGTACCTAGTGTTAAATTCATTGGCAAATGAGTCTTTGTGCAAAACTTGTTGGTATTTGGTTTGCAAAGTTATCTTGGCTAGTCCACATTGTTAAGCCCCAAATTTCCTCATCTGATGTGCAAAATTTGTTGGTATGTGCACCGTGGGTACATTAGAGGTTAGATATAAGTTGGGACCTTTCCTATCAACTTAAGCTTTTGATAGACCAGCAACCTTAAGGGAGCCAAAAGAAACTTCTTCACGGAATTACTTTTCATTTTTAACATGGCTTAGAAATTTTCTTATTTTTGTGTTGTACAGTTCCTTATATAGGGTAACCTATGACGTTCCATGAGATTGGAAATGCAAATATGGTAGTAAGATTAGAATGCATTTGATATAGTAATTCTTCAAATAAAATATCTCTACATATCCACATTATATAACAAATGATGAAGCAAGTACAAAACTAGTTCGGATCTTGCTAAGTAAAAGATGAAGATAAAGAGCTAATATAAAACAAAAAACACAACACTAACAAAAAGGGTTTATGTACGAATTCTATGGAAGGTTATTATGTCTTTCGTCAAGATATGAATTATGCAACTGAACAAATTAAAAAAAAAAAAATGAACCCGCTTCAATTAGTGTTGTGATACCTTAGACATTTTCATTGAGGTTTTAACATGATTGTTATAATGCAGAACAAGAAGATGGCATTTCCTTGTACAATCAAACACCTAGATGCCTAAATATGTTTCACTTGAGAGAGAACATGTTTTCTTCCTGTACAATTGTCATCGGCAACAAAATTGCAAACGAAGACATTTGATTTGGTTAAATTCTAAAGAATAATACTCATCCGATGTGATTGCAAAAAATGACGGCTTGCTAATAACGTTCGGAGCAACATAGTGAAATAAGCGCTCAGACAATTACAAATAGTTGCATTTTTCTTTAAAAGTTGTATTTTTTTGAACCCTTATATCTCGTGAACAAAAGCAAACACTTGATCGACCTTACCACGACATCGTGAATGGAAGCTGTCAATCCACCGTCCGAAACTGCTCGACCGAAGCCCACCAACCGTCGGTCCCGCTCGGCAGGCATGACCCTGTCGAACAATTTCTCGAAGGTAAAAGGGGAGACGTCATAGCGGCCTTCGCCGCAGCCGTCCTCAGCCAAGAATTTCGATCGGCAGAAAACAGAGACAACAACGGAACTGTGGTGGAGGGCCACGCGGAGCTTCTCCGGATCGGCAGACTCGGCTCGGCCGTCCGGTGTGAGGGCCGGGAAGCGGTGGCAAGAGTGGTTGGCGGCGGCGAGGAGGTCCCGTAGCTGGAAGGGATCGACGTGGGATGGGTTGGCGGAGATGGTGATGGGTGGAGGGGGTTTCCTTGCTTTCGGCTGGGGATTAAGACTGGGATTTAAGGAATAGCTGAAGGGGAAACAGGCGGAGGCGGAGGCGGAGGCGGAGACTCTACTGGGGAGGGTAGCGCAGGTGACGGCCATTTAATAATTTTTAGAATGCAGGTGGATAAAAGGGCAAAGAATTCCAACAACTTATATTGCTAGACAACAACGTGCCGTGCCTATTTGCACCGATGTCTGAATAATTCCTTTAGTTGGTCGTTTGATGATCCAGGGATTGGAAACTTCACACCCGATTTCTTTTCCACCCCCTTCCCCCCCCCCCCCAAAAAAAATTAAAATTAAAATTAAAATCTCTGCTCTGCATCGGAGGTAACATCAAAATTACACGACTCAGGAGGAAAAATTGTCACAAAAAAATGGGACCTGGATGTCCTAGTTTTTTATCGGAACATATGGAGGAATGATCCCACACACAGTAAGATATGTGTTTCCAACAGTTAGATATCGAATTTACATATGAAGTAACCTCAGAGTTTTAGATTAATATACCTTCCAACAGTCAGATATATTTTTCATTAATCCTAGCTCACCTTCGAATGCCTTAATTAATCATCACATAAATTTTATCTATACCTAATGTGTTTCTTGCATTAACTTATCCATCTTATATATTGTCTCTATAAACCTTTCGGACTCTTCTTAGTGGTGCATCATCATCAGTTATATCTCCAATAATATCATGATATAGATGTTTATAACCATCATAAACTTGTTCATGACTTTCAAAAGGCTTATATTGTTTGTTTGTAAACAATAGTTTTCAAGCCTTCGACGAATCTATTTATTCGATTCAAAAATTCCAGTGACGCAAAGCACCTTCCTCAGGAAACTGATTTCGGTGACTGCCGAAAATACAAAGCTTCAACAGTACAGCTGCATCTTCTTGCTTCCGGAGGCAATCAAGATATGCAATCATATCTTATATTTGAATGAGACAATTTTTCTTACTTGATATTTAGGGGGAAAATGTCTTCCACCAATATGATGGTTGATTATTATGCTTCCAAGTGATGAATTGTCAGGACAGAAAAAGGTGCTACAGGATCCTGGTGCTCCAAGTGGAAAGCTCAGTAATGAAGGAAGCTATGAGTGTGCGGTACGCAGCAATATATATATATATATATATATATATATATATATATATATATATATATATATATATATATATATAAAATTCAATTGCTTAAGAAGCCACTATGCTGACAGACATAAGTAAAATGATAACAACATGAAAGTATCTCTTCTAGGCCCAATTCCAGCATATGTCAAGTTTAGCCCAATTCCAGACGAGAGTGGACTATAATTTGGCACGCTAAACGGACAGATTAAAATTTCGTGCCCATTAAAATTTTGGCTTAGGTAAATTGTCAAGCATGTAGTAGTCCTCCTAGTGCTGCAGAATTTATTAAATAAGCATTGTGATACGTTAGACTAAGCCCCGACCACAAAAATTTATAGCCTCAGGTAGCATATCTAAAATATATATCTAAAATTGATAGTCGAAGGTTTATTATTGTTAGGAAAAAAATTGTTAGGGACTATTAACTACAAGGACATCTTTTTAGACTCATGCGTATTTACACATTTTGAATTATTAATTTGGACGTGAAAACGGAGTCCGAAAACCTTTTTTGACTTTAGTAAAGATCAATATTTTTACCTCGATGACATATCGGATAATCTTGTACATGTGTGAGTTCAAATCAGGTAAATCAACATGTTAACAATTTTTTCTCCTAACAATTATTATCTAACTAATTATGCTAATTTAATCATCATAATTACTACTACTAATCTAGAAGATGAGTACATCAATCTAAAACTTTAAAGGCACAAAGGTGCCAAAACCTTAAATGTGTGAAATGCTTGCTAAGCACTTGCAAATATTAAAATATTAAAATATAAAATATATTATTTTATTTATAATTTAAAAATATATATTGAGCAAGCAAATCGAGGTATTCTTATTATCTATCTAGTAGTATGATGTTGTAACTCGTACCGACTTAATCATAAGTTGATAATAATATAACAAAACCAAGAAAATAAGATATCTTTAAATAAACTTCTCAAGCTAGTTTGGAAAATTGAAAATCATTTAATAAAAGTTATTGTTACCACATATAGACCTAAAAAAAAAGGGTCAAGAAGGAGAAGCTACTTACTAGTTGGCAAAAGGCTGTGGAGTGTGACACCGAAGAAGACAAAAGTGCACAATGGAGGAAGGTTGGGTTCGTGCAACTACAATAGTGCTTGGGGCGGAGGAATGTGCCAGCCAGTGGAAAAATAAAATTGGTTGATGACATAAGACAGACAAATAAAACTTCACATGATGATAAAAGGCGAAGGAGGCTCACAATTAATACTATAAGTTGAAGAAATATATTACACAAGACAGCTCTATTGGTGGGCACAACAGCCATTAAGGATACCCTTATAATATTATTAACTTGGAGCTTATAGAAAGTATACTTAAGAATACATTTACCTTCCAAGGCTTCTATTCTTAATGAATCTATAAATCACCCTCAATATGTTAGTTTGGTATAGCTAACAAAGTCTTATTGCCTATTCAACACTTTCATATTTTATATATATATATATATATATATATATATATATATATATATATATTCACTTTTGGTTTAAGATATCCAATAGAATATTGTAGTTCATATATATCAGATATAATTTACATTATTTTCTTGCAGGCTTAGAAATAAAAAAGCAAAACTATATAGAACGAGGATTAATAATTTTAGGTAATGTTGGATCTTTTTCTCTCTCTCTTTTGCGGCTAAGAACCCTAGAGCGGTACACTGTGGAGCACCAGAGTCTCAATGGACAGCCCAGGTCCAAAGGCGCAGAGGAATCCCCACTCGAGCCCGTCGCCGGTGGTTGTCCGCTCCTCGACCGTCGACCGCTTCCTGACGTCGTCCATGACGAAGAGAACGGTGGCGCCCATCATGTTCCCGTACTCGCTGAACACATGTCTCGAGGAGCGGAGCTTCCCCTTCTGGAGCGCCAGCTTGGCCTCGATGGCGTCCATGATCCCCCAGTTCCCCGGGTGCGAAACCCAGAAGACCTCGTTCCAGTCAGTGATGCCCAGGGGCTTGAATGCCTCTTGGAGGCAGTTCTCTAGGTTGTTGGCGATGAGCATGGGAAGCTGGCGCATGAAATGGAAGGTGAGGCCGACCTGCTTGAGTTGCCCTCCCACGGCCATGTCGCTCTCCGGCACCGTCACTTCCGCAGCAGACATGATCTCGAAGATGGGCTTCTCGACGCCTTGTATTGGATCCGCGCCGACGATGACCGCTGCTGCTCCGTCGGCAAACGCGACCTGGCCTGCCAGGCTCTGGATGTCGCGCTCGTCCGGTCCTCGGAAGATGAGGGTGTTGACCTCGCAGGCGACCAGGAGCACGCGGGCGTCCCTGTTGTTCTCCGCGATGTCCTTGGCGATGCGAAGCATCTGAGCACCCATGTGGCAGGCCTGGCTGTAGAGCATGATGCGGTTGACAGTCAGCGGGAGGCCGAGGAGCTTGATGAGGCGGTAGTCGGCGCCGGGCATGTCGATGCCGCTAGTGGAGCAGAAGAGCAAGTGGGTGATCTCCGACTTGTCGCGGCCCCACTCTTTGATGGCCTTGGCGGCGGCTTCCTTGGCGAGCCTCGGCACCTCTTCCACCACGATGTCCTGCCGCTCGTCGAAGGAGGTCCCCATATAAGAGCACATCCCTGGTTTCTCTCTGAGGATCTCCTCCGTGAGCAGCATGTAACGCCTCTTGATCATGGTCCTGTCACCTTCACACACAGAACAAGCAACACTTTCATTCCCTGTCACACTCTTCATAGAAGAATAATCAGATGACTCACAGATACGCTGGAACTTCTGCTTGAGCTCCTGCATGTGCTCCGAGTTGGTCACCCGGAAGTAGAAGTCCGCGTAAGAGCTCTGCTCGTAGAGGTTGGGGGGATTGGCGGTGCCGATGGCCATGATGGTGGCCGGACCTTCAGATCTTGTGGTCTTGCGGGAGGCGTGGATGGCGGCCATTGTTGCAGGTCGTAGAAGAGAAGGTTACAGGATCGCTAAGGGTGATGAGTGGCAAGAGCACGTCCTTGGGCGGCTTATATAGCGTCTCCCTCTACCACCATGCTCCAGATCATGCTCTTGGATAGTAGAAGAGACAGCAATGTCGCATCATAAGAGATTGCATTGAACTCACCTACCATCGACTGGTAAATTAATAGATTGAACCCCAGTCTGGTACGCCTTTGATCGATCGACCTCATGCATTCAACACACTCCGAGTGCCGTTGGTCATCCACTACTTCGGCTTGTCTTTATTAAGTAAGACCGATTCACTCAACTGCTGCCTGATGCTGACCAGCACACACGACATATTGGAATTTTGCGCAGCACAAGGGTTGTTGGGGTTGAAAGCTTTACCAAACTCCGGTCACCAACTTCCCCTGCCACCTACTGCGTCAGAAGTATAACCAAAGCGGAACAAAATGTCTGCCTGCTTGTGAAGCTATACATTGAGTAACTTGTTGAAAAATCTCTAAAAAGATGTGGATATCGAAAAATCATAGAGGAGTGATTACACAGAAGAATAGAGAAGTTTCAAAGCTAAAACTCAAATGATAACTCATAGATTATCTGAGTCTTTTTAACTCTACCTCATGTCTTCTTCTAATTAAAAATAAACTCAAATTTTAACTCCGCCTACATAGAATCTCCCATCTTAACTAAGACTTTTAAACCAAAATCATATTTAATTTAACATTTCAGATTCTCACGTATAAAACGTCAAATAGATTCACTTTTTTGAATAAAAACGTGATGGAAAGAAACACGCTAATGATGATTGAGAATGTAGACTTTCTTAAGTGGTTCATTACCAGAAGAAACCGGAACGTTTAGCCTAAAAAAAAGAACGGGGAATAGATGCATATCCTCACCGATTGCCTCTTCCAATTTACGCGTTACGTGTTTATGTTATACGGTCAATGCTTGCAATTATCTGGCATTGAAATTCTAAATTATAACACTACCAAAATAATTTCCTATCACATCAGATCAACAAGTCAAACTCGCACAAGTTTAATAGAATAAAAATTTGTCGCTGTGTATTGCTGTTGGTGGATGCAAACGTCGAGGAACTACAGAAAGGACTTCTTCCGTCAACATGATGGGATGGTTAGAGGAAAACAAATACTAATTGTGCTAATAATCATGGTTGTGGTAGAAATATATCATCATATAATCATATTTAATGTTAACCTATATATGATGTGAAAATACTATTTCTTGATAACCTATATGATGTGTAAATAGTATATATACTGTTAACCTATATATATATATGCTAATTTTGAAGCTTCAATGATGTGCAATGATGACGCAATCATCTACATCCATGTATTCTATAGGATGTATTTCCTTGTGTGTATATACTTTTTTTTTACAAGCGAGGAAGGCATGATTTGATCTTAAAATATTATAATAATATGATAGAGTCTTTATATTTTTGAAAAATAAAAAATAATCGTAAGATTAGCTAGCTTAGTTGGTAAAATTTTGATAGCTTAAATATAAGGATAAAATCATTCATTGAGATAAAATGAAACTCTCTACAGAAATAAATAAACGAAAAATAATAATATTTAGAGTTTTTTTTGAGACAATTATCCAAAAAAATAATATGCTTTGTGCTTGTGATATGTGAAGCAACTTCCATAATCACATTCTAATTCCAGCAGAATACATTATTTTTTTATTCATCAGTATTTTTTTATTTATTTTTGAAAATGATCTTGACAGATTATCTTATTGATCTATATGGTAAACAGAGTTTCGTATAGATATATGATATTTTATGGACGTGTCAGAAATATTATAATTACCTGACATAGAAATCCAGGTTTTTTTTCCCATATGTTGTTCTTCACAAACTAATAAAATATGTGATGATAAGTAAATTGTATTGGATTTTAAATCATTGTTCTTCAGCTATAAAGTTTTTTTTTTTTGTGTAGTCTTATAGTGTTTTTTATATGTGATAAAAATATTATCTCTGCTAAACTCAATTTCTTTTGCATCTTTTTTTACCCAAATCAATAAGAATATCTATTTAAAATATCATAAAAAAATAATATATTAGTTTGTTTTTTATTTTGACTATTTATACCTTACTAATATTAGTTTTATATTAAAATACTATATTGTATAGAGGTGCCAAAAGCATCGTAACTGAATTGGTGATCCAAATCAATTGAAAAGCTCAGAGATTTAACTGAAAAAAAAAATCTCAATGTTCTGATGTCAGAATATTACTAAATTGATTAGATGCTACAGTGATTGAAATTTGCTGACGGTTTTGGAGTTTTCAAGCACCGGTTGGCTCCAAGAAAAAAGGTGCCGGGTTTGAAGGGGATAGCCGATCCATCGTGACCGTGAACTTACGACTTTTCAATGGCATGCCAATGAGTCATGACGACCCTTTCGAGACTATCTTATTCTTCAACATGCAGCAGTAGGTGGGTAGGTGATCAATATGGCTACTTCGGCCATGAAAATTGATAAAAAAAAATTGACAATATTGTCAACTCATTCTGTCACTTAGGCTATCTAAACTACATAAGTAAATAAAGGGATGGGTAACTTCCATCAATCTCTTTAGCCACCGATGTAAGAATAATCCATCCGCCCCGCTTGTCTCATCCCATAGAAAAAGGCTAACAAGGCTCACTCCTCGCCTTTTGCTTGTTAGCATCCCCAATCACGATCGAGGGAAAACCCGCGTGCACCGCATTAAAGCTCGACGATATTGCTCAACTTTTTCAACTCTTTCTAGATAAACAACGCAGAGGACCATCCCTTGCTTGTCTTGGATAGGCCAAAAGCCAAAGCAAAATACTTCTCATCCTAACGCCATCATTCGAAGGACGTGCTCATCGATCACCATTATTTATCCCCCAAGTAGGGTAAGGAGCATCCTAACCTGCCATTAGCTTCACGCCACTAGCTACTCAAGTATAAAAATCAAGCCCCCAAGCCAAACAAAGGCAAAGGGGCTCTATCTATGCTCTTGTAAGCTCTACTAAACCCTCTCTACTTTTCCACGCTACTAACATAAATATCAAAAGGATCGGATCGAGATATCCCCACTAACACTAACCTTTATGCAAGACCTCAAACACCGCTAAGTTATTCCTCGAGAAGATGTAGAGCAACCTCTGGCAAGGTGAAGGCATGCCCTTGGATAGCGTCAAACCGTCTTCAACAGGCTAGCAGCACTTCGGGAATCCGCTTGTCACTTCAGCTTCTCATCCAGGTCATTCCCTTGAGACTCGCATGGACCCCCTTGATGGACTTACACCTTTGGGACCAAACTAGGCCATGCTAACTCTCTGGTCAATGGTACCAACACAATAACATTTTGGCACTATAGAAAGGGCCCGAATGTCGTAAGAACATTCATCCATAATTCCTCCCAATGAGTGCTCTAGTGAGGAGGCGCCACCTCCGACACCCAACTCATTTGATTAAGAGGGCACTAGCCCCCCTTCTAACAAGTAGACGTCTCTATCGGTGTAAACCCTGGGATGCTATTGATATCTATTCAATGACCACAACTTTTTCCCTCCAGGACCGAACGCGGGGCATATACTTGTCCCATCTGATACCTTCCTAGGCCTCACTCATCAAGTACAAATACTCGTCTGCATGATGCCAGCAATCGCCCCTTTCTTGCCCCAACAGGCACAACAAGTAGTGTGGATCTCGAGTGAAACGTTTTCTCTAACTCATTTTCTCTTTTGTAGGTCCTAAGAAATTATAGGAGGTTTCGAGAATATTGACCTTTGCGGACGGATACATAAGGGTGCCGCACAACTTAGGCAAAAGTAGCCAAGGGAGAGTAACATAAGTGGATGAGGCGACAAACATAATTTTCAATTGTCACTTTCCCCTCTTTAGCTGCAAAAAAAAATTTGAAGAAACTAGTAAGAAAAGAGGGGATGGAGAGGCGAGAGAAGAGAGAGTAAGGGAGGATGATGAGCATGTGTTCATTAATAAGGGAGCATGTTTTCATTAATAAGGCTAAGGCAACTGAGAAAGCGATAAAGCATCTCATCCCTTTCAACAACAAAGGGTGTAAAACACACGAGGTGAAGTCCATTTCATATTGTTGTTTTCCTTCCTTGTCACTTTGGCTGCAAAAAAAAAAATAATAATAATAAGCACAAAGTGGAGGGAGAGGTGAGAGAAGAGATCCAATAAAGGAGGATCTTGAAGAGCAAAGGCTTAAGTATATCTTCTTTGCGAGGCCAAGGTGAGTTAGAATGTGATCGAGCTTCTCGTCCATCTCGACAACGAAGGGTAGCAAATGAGGCAAATTCTATCATTTCCAATTGTCTTAGTCACTTTGCCTGCAAGAAAGCCAATAAAACAACGAGTACAATGGGGAAAGAGAGACAAACGGAGAAACAATGAGGGAGGATTTTGACGAGTAAGGGCTTAAGCTTGTTTTCGTCAGCAATGGCGAGATGAATGAGCCTACAGTTAAACATCTCCTCCCTCGTAGCTTCAAAGGGTGTCGTAAATAATGAGAACAAGTTTTAGCACATTATTTTTTGATTGCTTCTTTTCTTAAATATGACTTCGCTTGCAAGAAAGCCAAACAAATAATTATAACAAATGGTAGGAAAAGGGGAGAAAAGAGAAATGGGAGGATCACCTCCCTCTTGGTATTAGGGAGGGCCACAGGCAGATGAAGCAAAAATTTTTAATACTACTTTACCCTCTTTAGCTACAAAAATCCAAAATAAAACAATGAAAATAAATAGGAGGGGGCAGCACTTACCACAGTTCTAAAACCACCGATTTCAATTTCGACTCTGATTTGGGCACCGACAAATTTTTAATATTTTTTTTAATTAAAACTAATTTAAAATATGAAAAAGAAATTCATAATTTTATTTCTAAAACTTAAAAAATAGATGTATAATTATAATTAACGCAATGACATAAAAATGTTGATATAAAAAAATAAATTATAAAAAAATTAACCACTGTATCATAAGTTTTAAATGTGATTTCTTTTTGTTTTCTTTCCTATTTAACCGATTTGAATCCATAATCAC